AATTGACACTAGTCCTAAGATGTTTTGTGAGTTGAAGGAGCCTTTTTCTTTCTGGCAAGGCTTTAACTTAAAGAAGAAAGTTCTGTTTTTGTATGTTGGTCATGTATTGTGGAAACACAGAATTTGCTTCCTTGGAGAGGATTTACTCTGTAGCAGGCTTTTTATGGCTCTGCTAGTAAACATGACAGGAAAGTCAAATGCTGCTTTCCTGTAGTCAGGATTACAGTGTCCTGTTCTCCGGTTTGCTGCACGTTATCAGAGGTACTTTGCAAGTGTGTTCTTGTTCTTGCTGCAGCAGTAAACAAACTAGAGAAAAAGCAGAAATTCTCAAAGTACAGGGAAGCACTAATATTCTTGCTATGAAACCGTCCTCAGATTTTCTCTGTTGCTGTGCCATGTGTGTAGTCCCACTGGAAGCAATAACTAGTATATAACAGGAATTTGTGCAGATTCAGTTCTACAGTGAAGGAAATGTCACCTTACTAAGTGGGTGCTGTGGAGGGTGCTTGCAAGCCAGCCCCAGGCATTTGGTGTGTGGCTGCTGTTCCTGGTAATGAAATGATTTCTTAAGCTTGTGTTTTGCAAAGTGAAACTTTTGGTTATATCCACTTATCAAAGCCTGTAATGAAATTGTACCTGTCTGTGCTAATTTTAATTTATTTAATTTTTAGGACACCTCTGCATCTCGCTTGTGCAAGTGGCCATGTGGATGTAGTTACATATCTAGTAGAAAACAAGTGCAAGCTAAATCTTTTTGACAATGATAACAGATCGCCACTGATGAAGGTGTGTAGACTATGATGTGCTCTTGTAAGTGAGGCTTAGTGATTATGCACTAAACGATGTATTTTGCAGGATTCTTTCTGTGTGGAACCGTAAGTATTGTGATTGGTGTGCAATGGGTATATGTTAGCTAATCTTTCAAGATGCTGTTATTTCTCATTATTGGGAAGCTGGGGGAAATGTAACAGAGTGAAATGTAAATGCTGAATGTTTTTCCTTTTTTTTTTGCCTTTTATTCCCAGGCAGTACAGTGCCAGCACGAAGAGTGTGTGGTTATTCTGCTACAGCATGGTGCTGATCCAAGTCTGGCAGATAGAGATGGCAACACTGCCTTGCACCTGGCTGTCCTGTCTCCTAGTACAACTGTAGTAGGGCTGTTACTTGAGCATAATGCCAGTATTGATGCCCCAAATAAGGTAAATTTTTATATTTTTTAAGGAAGTTCTTTTAAAATGTTGCATTCATATTTTTCTTGAAGGTTTTTTATTTTTGATTTTTAACTTTGTCTGC